TTCCCGTCTCCTTTCCCTTCCCCTTCCCTTTCCTTTCCCGTCTCCTTTCCTTTCCCTTCCCCTCTCCTTTCCTTTCTCCTTTCCCTTCCCCTCTCCTTTCCCTTCCCCTTCCCCTTTCCTTTCTACTTTCCTTTCCTCTTTCCTTTCCCCTTTCCCCCCTTCCTTCCTTCCATTTTCCTCTTGTTGCCCAGGCTGGAGTGCAGTGGCACAATCTCAGCTCACAGCTACCTCCCCTTTCCGGGTTCAAGCGATCCTTTGGGACCACAGGTATGCGCCAGCACACCCGGCTAATTTTTATATTTTTAGTACACACGGGGTTTCACCATGTTGGCCAGGCTGGTCTCGAACTCCTGACCTCAGGTGATCTGTCCACCTCAGCCTCCCAAAGTGGTGGAATTACAGGCGTGAGCCACCGTGCCTGCCCTCTTTTGTTTGTTTTTGTTTCAGGACAGGGTCTTGTTCTATTGCCCGGGCTGGAGTGTAGTGGTGCAGTCACAGCTCACTGCAGCTCAGCCTCCTGGGCTCAAGCTAGACTCCCACCTCGCCTCCAGGTAGCTAGGACTACACGTGTGTGCCACCACACCTGGCAAATTTTTGTATATTTTGTAGAGATGGCATTTCACCATGTTGCTCACTGCTGTCTCCGCTGCTGCCACCCTGGCACAGATGGTACCCGTGCCTGGGTCCTTTCTGGACTTCCTGTCCCCACTCTCCCAGTACCCATTTTCCCAACAGCCAGAGAAATTGAATTAAAAACATCCAGCTGGTCTTCTGTCCAAAACCTTCCCCTTGGCTGGGCAGAGTGTCTCACACCTGTAATCCCAGCACTTTGGGAGGCTGAGGCCAGAAGATTGCTTGCGCCCAGGAGTTCAAGATCAGCCGGGCAACACAGCAATACCCTGTCTCTCAAAAAAGAAAAAGAAAACCAGCCAGGCGTGGTGATTCATGCCCGTAATCCCAGCACTTTGGGGGGCTGAAGTGGGCGGATCACCTGAGGTCAGGAGTTCGAGACCAGCCTGGCTAATGTGGTAAAACCTGACCTCTACTAAAAATGCAATGGCCTGGCACAGTGGCTCACACCTGTAATCCTAGCACTTTGGAAGGCTGACGCAGGCGGATCACTTGAGTTCAGGAGTTCAAGACCAGCCTGGCCAATATGGTGAAACCCTATCTCTCGCCACTGCACTCCAGGCTGGGTGACAGAGTGACACTCTGTCTCAAAAAAATAACAAAATTAGCTGGGTATAGTGGCAGGCGCCTGTAATCCCAGCTACTTGGGAGGCTGAGGCAGGAGAATCGCTTGAACCTGGGAGGTGGAGGTTGCAGTGAGCTGAATCATACCACTGTGATTCAGCCTGAGAAACGAGCAAAACTCCATCTCAAAAAACAAAAAACCACCTTTGTATCTCCCTCCCGTCTCATGCAGTAAAACCCCAAGTGCTGGCCCTGCCGGTCAGCCTCCCCACATCCGGCCTCCACCTCCACTAGTCTCCCCTCAGCCCCTCCCCAGCCCCTGGCTTTGCTTAGACCCGTGGGGCTCACTCCACCCGGGGGCCTCTGTTGTCCCCTCTGCCTGGATGTCCTTCCCCCCCAACGGGGTGAGGAAGGGAGCTCCGAAAGGCTTCCCTGGCCTCCTTAAATTGCAACACCCTGTCTTGCCCACAACCCCACACTACTTCCTGCCCCCCTGCCCTGCTTGATTTCTCTGCGGGACCTACCACCAGTGGATGTGCCGTCTCCCTCTGCCCACACACTCGGCTGTTCCCTTGGGCTGGGGGTCCTGCAGCCTGGAAGACCTCTAACCCTTGGCCCACAGCAGCTGGAGAGCAGAGGCCGGCCTACCTTCTTGGTCTGTCCTAGGCTTCTGAGACCGCCACCTCCCCGTTCACGTAATCCGGTTCCCCATCCTCCTCCTCATCTGGGCTTCCGGCCGGGCGGGGGGATGCTTCTCTCTGGACTTGCCCTGCAGACCAGTGGGCAGACAGGTCATTGAGTGGTTCACATGGACACACCCATGACTGTTCCCCCAACTGGGGTGCCGGGCTCAGACCCCAGACTCCACAAAACAGCCTGTGGGAAATGCCACGCCAGACAGGTCCTGGCGGTGTGTGTCTCTCCCGTCTGGGATTTGCCAGAGATCGTCCTGCTCTGAGAAAAGGTGGAACGTGTTACTGCATGCATGCAGCTGGCAGAAGTTGCAGTGAGCTGAGATTGTGCCATTGCACTCCAGTCCCCAGTGATGATGGGGTCCTCCCTGCAGAGAGGGAGGATAGGACCCCTTCGCCCACTCCCACCGAGGAGGCTCCAGGAGCCAATGAAGCCTCCTCTGAGGATTCGCCCTGCCTGGGAGGACCTGACCCCACCCCGGAGGCCAGGGCAGCTGCTGAGGGCTGTCATGCGTGGTTCAAGGTCTCTGCAGCTGCTCTTGCACCCCAGGCGTCACTGCGGGGTCAGCTGGCCCGGCTGGAGGAAAGCCCACTCTCAGCCCCGCCCTTCCAGGCCAGTCCCTCAAGCCTGCCCTAAGTGGGCCGACCACCCTGCGTCCTCTTCTCCCGGCCACCTACCCATGGCCCTCCTGGACTCTCGCCACTGACGGATGGATGCTGAGTTCTGATAATCCTCAGATTCCTCATCTTCTTCCAGGGGGACAGAGGGACAGGGACTGGAGGTGGGGTCAGTCTTCAGAGCTGGCAAGGGACTGTGTTCTCCGCAGAGGCCACCTGTGCCCTCCTGCTGGGCACCTGCAGAGGGAGGATAGGCCCCCTCGGCTCAGTCCCACTGAGGTGCAAGGAGCCGACGGAGCCGCCTCCAAGGATGCTGGGGGCAAGGCTCTACCCAAAGACACCCAGGGATCCGAGAGCCTTCAGGCTTCAAGGTGGGGTGGCCTTTGATCAGTGGGGAGTGCAGGGGCGCTTGGCCAAGTGGTCTGCCGCTCCCGGCCCCAGCCTGCCCCTGGCTGGGCGGTCTTACCTGGCTCTGTCGTTTTCTGCTTGCAAATGAGCACATTCTCGTAGGAATTGGCATCATCATCTGCAGGAGAGAGCGGAGTGGGCATGGGGCTGTGTGGACTCTTGACAGGCTTGGCTCACCCTCTGTCCTGCCCTCCCTCTGCAGAGGACCCCCCCGCCAAGCCCTACATCTCTGGGTACCCGAGGGACCTCAAGCCTTCTCCTGGAAGAGCTTCCTAATGGGCGCTGGCCTGGCACCCTGCAGGCTTTTCCCTGAGCCCTGAGCTCTTTTTCTTTTCTTGTGGAGACAGGGTCTTGCTCTGTCACCCAGGCTGGAGAGCACTGGCAAAGTCGTAGCTCACTGCAGCCTCCAGTTCCTGGCTCAAGCGATCCACCCCTCAGCCTCCTGAGTAGCTGTGACTACAGGCGTGCACCACCACACCCAGCTAACTTTAAAATATATTTTGTAGAGAGAGTATCTCACTATGTTACCCAGGCTGGTTTAGAACCCCTAAGCTCAAGCAATCTTCCCAAAGTGCTGCGATTACAGGCATGAGTCACTGTGCCAAGCATCCTTCTCTGTCTTCTAAGAGCCCCTCCAAATGCATTGGGGAGGGGGCACTTGGGGAGAGGTTTGCAATTCAGGCCCACGATGGGTGGCTGGAAGGAGGAAGGGAGGCAGGGGGCAGCTCAGAGGCTCGTTTCTGGGGCAACTAGGAGCTCTCCCTAGAGCCACTGCCGGGAGGGATCTGGACTCTTCCAGACAGGGCAGGGCGGGCTGGGAATGCTTTGCTCGGGGACCCAGGCTGAGTGTGGCATCTCCGAGCCTGGCACCCCGTCTTGGTCCTGTAATGGGGAAGCTGGGCTCTGACTGATGCCCTGCCTGATGTCCATCAGTAATGACAGGGTCCTAAGAAATGAGCACTGCTGGCAGGGCGCGGAGGCTCACACCTGTAATCCCAGCCCTTTGGGAGGCTGAGGCAGGAGGTGAGGAGTTCAAGACCAGCCTGGCCAACATGGTGAAACCCCGTCTCTACTGAAAACACAAAAAATTAGCCAGGTGTGGTGGTGTGTGCCTGTAATCCCAGCCACTTGGAAGGCTGAGGCAGGAGAATTGCTTGAACCCGGGAGGCGGAGGTTTCAGTGAGCCAAGATTGCGCAACTGCACTCCAGCCTGGGTGACAGAGGGAGACTCTGTCTCAAATGAAAAAGTGGAAGTGGCACTGGTGGGGGCAGAAGAGGACCCCTGAACACCTACACCGGCATGGCCCAGGTGGGAGCCAGGCCAGGGAGCTGGACTCAAGCCCAGGGCCCTGCACCTCTCGGCACGCACCACCCACACTTACTCCTGTTACCGTTTCTTTTCTTTTTTTAATTGAGATGAAGTCTTGCTCTGTCACCCAGGCTGGAGTGCAACGGCATAACTCAGCTCACTGTAACCTCCACCTCTTGGGTTCAAGAGTGTCTCCTGTTTCAGCCTCCCGAGTAGCTGGGATGACAGGCATGTGCCACCACCATGCCCAGTTAAATTTTTTGTATTTTTGTAGAGACAGGGTTTCACCATGTTGGCCAGGCTGGTCTCGAACTCCGGACCTCAAATGATCCACCCACCTCGGCCTCCCAAAGTGCTGGGATTATAGGTGTGAGCCACCGTGCCCAGCCTCTCAGTTGCCCTTTCTATAAAGGAAAAGCATTCAGGGCCCAAGGCTCTGGTGTTCTCAGCCTGCAGGGATCACTGTCCCTGGTACCTCTGGGCTCATCAGGAGATGCTCAGTCCTTGTACACAGGGGCCTGGTCTCCCCTGACCTCCCCGAGCCAGCCCTCTAGTTCCCTGCCACTGTGGCCCACTCCTCTCCCCCACGCCCTGTGCCCACAGCTCCCTCACTGACCCGCCTGCCCCCTGGCCCTCCTTGGCCCCCACCTGCAGCGACAGCCTCCTTCTGTCCACCCACCCTTCTCTGCCAATTCACCCGAACCCAAGCCCAGCCTCCTCTCCTGCCCGGAGTGTGGCTTCTGCCCCAGCTCCCACATCACTTCCTCCCCCACCTCTGGCTTCGTCCTCCGCCTCACCTTCGGGGGGCTTTGAGAACCGCCCCCAGTTGTAATACTCCATGGCAATGGGGTCTCTGGCCAAGAGAACAGACAGCACAGGTTTCCAGGCAGGCTGGAGGGCGGGGTGGGAGTCCTCATGGGAGGCAGTGTGGCCAGGGCTGCTCCCACTATTGCTCTTCTTGGGGGCCGTGGGGACTCTGCCAGGATCTCCTGATTCCCCCACCCCCACTTCCTGGAGCCCTGGAGCCACCGGGGAGGCTGGAGGGAGCAGATGCCTTGTGGATCCACCTTTTTTTTTTTGGGAGACGGACTCTTACTCTGTCACCCAGGCTGGAGTGCAGTGGCGCTATCTCAGTTCACTGCAACCTCTGCCTCCTGGGTTCAAGCAATTCTCCTGCCTCAGCCTCCTGAGTAGCTGGGATTATAGGTGTGCACCACCACGCCTGGCTAATTTTTATATTTTTCTAGAGACGGGTCTTCACCATGTTGGTCAGGCTGGTCTTGAACTCCTGGCCTCCGGTGATCCGCCCGCCTCAGCCTCCCAAAGTGCTAGGATTACAGGTGTGAGCCACCTTGCTATGTGACCTTAGGCCAGCCCGCATAGTGTGCCCATCTGTGAGATGATACAACACACTGAGGGGTCCTGGGTGTCCTGTCACTTGTCTTTGGGTGATGCTGAATGAGTCTCCATTCCCCGCCCCACACACCCCATGTCCCAGAGCAGGGCCAAGTCCGGTCCCACAAAGCCAGGGTCACCTGAGAGTCAACAGGGCCACCCAAGCCCTGCCTGCCAGGAGAAGGAGGGGAACCTGGATGCCAAGTTCTAGTGCCAGAGGCGGTTCCTAGACCAGGAAGCCCAGGGCCACATGGGCAGGTGGGGCAGTGGGAGAGGAGGGGCCACTCACACATAGGCGTCCTCCAACCCGTGTCTGCTTCCTGCGGGAGGAGGCGAGAATCAGGCCTGAGCCCCTGGGCTCCAGCCCCTCCGTGGCCTCCTGTCTCCCTGGGAGCCCACCTACCTTTGCTGAAGTTCTGGTACCTGGAAGATGCTGGATCTGGAAGAAAGAAAGGCCCAATCATCGCCTGCTCCCCGGCCCCAGCTTTCCACCCAGCTCGGGCTCCACGGCCCAAGGCGGAGCAAGGTGTTTCCTGGGTCTGAGCCTTTGCCATGCTCCCTGTCCCCTTCATTGGGCATGTGCGGGTGCGCACCCTCCCTGGGCCAGGCCACCCCGCCCAGCCTGTGAGTCTGTGCTGGGGAGGCCTCCCCTGGCCCCGCAGCCGCCACTGCACGAGGCCTGTCCCCTCAGGTGTTGGCCTTAGTCCCAGCTTGGCTAGGCCTGTCCCTGTCCCTGCCCTGTGCCACTCACCCTCCAGGCTGGGGGAGAACTGCAGCAGCTTGTCCTTCCTGCGGGGGGAGGGGGTTGAAGGAGGGACTGTGGGGTGAGGCCTCCCAGAACACATCCCCCCATACCCCTGGTGGGACCATCATAGTTGAGCCCTGGGGCTCAGGGGCCAGGGGAGGGAAGGAGGGAGGTCTTGGCCTGGGTTCACCACGTGGGGACCTCCAGGACCTACCTTCCTTGTCACTTCCTGGGGGCTGTGACCTACCTTGCGGGTGCCGTCTCCGCCAGGGGTCCTGGCCATGCCTGCCCGACCACTGCGAAGGACAGGAAGTGTGGTGTTGGCTGGGCCCCCAGGCTAGCCCAGCCCGTCACGCCATCACCTGCCCCCCACCTCAGGCCTGGCCATGGTGTCAGGGCAATGGGGACTGAGAGAACTGAACAAGGACACCCCCAACCCAGAGCCCAGCCTGGGACCCTTGGAGACTCACAGGAGTAGGTCTGGGACCCCATAAAGCTCTGTTGGTCCTCACGCCTGGAAACACAAAGGCTGTGCTGAGCCTGGGCCTGGCCTCTCACAGCCCGGGGACACAGGGACAGGGGAGGTGGATGGGGACAAGGAGGGAGAGCAGAGGGATGGACCTGGGCGACAGTGGGGAGGAACTTCTGCCCTTTCAGGCCTCAGACTCTCGGCTCCCCCTGCAACCCCCATTCTCTGGTCACTCTGCACATGGGGTGCCCACCGCTCATACAGGGCCCTGGGCTGGAGCCCCGCTCTCAGCAGCCCCATCCTCAGTGTGGCCTCAGCGGGCCTGCTGGGGGGTCCCAGGCCCCTGGAGATGGTCAGAGGGGTCTGTGGACAGGGCTGGGGAGGCAGCCCTGAGATCCCGGGGCATAAGGATGAATAAAGACCTGCTCAGGGGCCCAGCGGTGACTTGGGGTAAATTATTTCAGCCAGGAGTGACAAAGAGGCTGCCTCCCACCTGCCGGTGCCAGGGAGTGTTTTCAATTCCTTAAAATAGCACATGTGGCCAGGCGCTGTGGCTCACGCCTGTAATCCCAGCACTTTAGGAGGCCGAGGCAGGTGAATCGCTTGAGGTCAGGAGTTCGAGACCAACCTGGCCAACATGGGGTAACCCCGTCTCTACTGAAAATACAAAACAAATTAGCCAGGCGTGGTGGGTGCCTGTAATCCCAGTTAGGAGGCTGAGGCAGGAGAATCACTTGAACCCGGGAGGCAGAGGCTGCAGTGAGCCGAGATCATGCCACTGCACTGCAGCCTGGGTGACAGAGTGAGACTCCATCTCAAAAAAAACAGCACATGCTCTGGGGACATTCAAACCCACCATTTACTTCCAAATAACTGGCAAGACAAGTTCAAGGCTTAGCAGACACAGCTAAGTGCCCAGCCGTTGCCTGATCTCCCTTCTTCCTTTCAGAAGAAACTTTGATTTTTATTCAGATAGCCTGTGCTCATGTAAAAAGCTATCCTGGCCGGTGCGGTGGCTCACGCCTGTAATCCCAGCACTTTGGGAGGCCGAAGTGGGTGGATCACAAGGTCAGTAGTTCAGGACCAGCCTGGCCAAGATGATGAAACCCTGTCTCTACTAAAAATAAAAATATATGTATTAGCCAGGCATGGTGGCGCACGCCTGTGATCCCAGATACTTGGTAGGCTGAGGCAGAAACTTGCTTGAACCCGGGAGACTGCACTCCAGCCTGGGCAACAGAGCAAGACCCCATCTCAAAATAAAATACAGCAGGTTTTGGGGCTCCTCCTCTGAACCAAAATGGGTACCTGGCCCAACCTTCCAGGAGCGCCTGGAGGACTGGGGCTCAGGGTGGCCTCCTTTAGGAGAGATACCCTGAATCCACAGGAGAGAGTCAGACGTGGCTTCCTGGGAGAAGCAACACAGGAGCTGGGCCTGTGCTCACAGCAGTCACTTCACGAAGGCCGGTGGGGCCGAGCCAGACCGAGGTGACAGATGGAGAGACAGGCAAAGGCCTTCCAGGGAGGGGATCAAACAGCCCCCCCACCACATGGGGACCTGTGGTGGTCTGGCCTTGACCATCTGTGGCTCTAAGATCAATCATGGGGCCAGGGGTGGGCAGGGCCTGAGGGAATAGGGGACAGGGGATGCCTCCGAGGAGTCAAGGGCATGGGGGACGCTGGGGGGCGACGCTGGGGTGGGGGGTCGCAGGCAGGCCAGAAACCGTGTGGCCAGAAAGACACAGAAAGGTCTAGGCCTGGCCCACGGTGAGCAAGGCTGGGAAGATTCTATTTTCAAATCTCACTGTGGTTTTTCAGTTGCAAAAGGAAATGAGGAAGGATGTGTGTGCGTGCATGCATGCGTGGGTGGGTCATGAGTGACTGCTCGGGGGTGAACATGGACCTCCGGGTTCTCTGAGCCTGCAGTCAATCATTCTGTTTTTTTTTTTTTTGAGACAGAGTTTCACTCTTGTTGCCCAGGCTGGAGTGCAGTGGTATGATCTCGGCTCACCAAAACCTCCACCTCCCGGGTTCAAGTGATTCTCCTGCCTCAGCCTCCCAAGTAGCTGAGGTTACAGGCATGCGCCACCACACGCAGATAATTTTTGTATTTTTAGTAGAGATGGGTTTCTCCATGTTGGTCAGGCTGGTCTTGAACTCCCAACCTCAGGTGATCCGATCGCCTCGGCCTCCCAAAGTGCCGGGATTACAGGAGTGAGCCACCGCACCCAGCCGGATGCCTGGACTTCTAGAGGGCACAGGCAAGCTGAAGAGTGGCTAGCCCCACAGCCCAGGCATCCCCGCCTCCCAAAGCCCCCCCAACCCAAGCTGCAGCAGGGCCTGGAGAGCGTCTGGGCACTTCCTTTCCCTCCTCTGATGCCTAGGGGCTGGCTAGAGACTGGCACAGAGGTGTGAGTGAAGGGGTAAAGGACGAGGTGCCAGGAATTCCCTTGGGGATACCCATGCCCAGGGTACGTGAATACACCAGGCCAGGGACATCGAGGCAACTCACAGACTTCTCTGCTGGTAGATTTTCTCTGACCTCTTTGCACCTGCAAAAACAAGCCAGGATTAGCAAGGGTCCAAGAGCAGCTGCGAACTGAGGTCAGATACTCCCCGCCGTGTCTTGTCTCCCAGCAGCACTTGGGGCCAAGCTGTCAATTACCAACCACCTGATATTAAAGAATATTTGGGGCCAGGTGTGGTGGCCCCAGCACTTTGGGAGGCCAAGGTGGGAGGATCACCTGAGGTCAGCAGTTTGAGACCAGCCTGGCCAACATGACAAAACCCCATGTCTACCAAAAACAAAGAAATTAGCTGGGTGTGGTAGCAGGTGCCTCTAATCCTAGTTACTCGGGAGGCTGAGGCAGAACGGCTTGAACCCAGGAGTCGGAGGTTGCAGTGAGCTGAGATTGTGCCAATGCACCCCAGCCTGGGCGATGGAGCAAGACTCTGTCTCAAAAAAAAAAAAAAAAAGGCTGGGCGCGGTGGCTCACGAATGTAATCCCAGCACTTTGGGAGGCTGAGGCAGGCGGATCACCTGAGGTCAGGAGTTCAAGACTAGCCTGGCCAACATGGTGAAACCCCATCTTAAAAAAAAAAAGTATTTGCTCAGCGTATTTTAGAAGAGGAGAGGTTGGAAAAGCGGGTGCCACAGGCAGCCCCGACTCCCCTCCTTTGTCTGGGGCAATTTCTCTGGCCCAAGACACCGCAGCTGACCCAGCAAAACAACACCCCAGGTGCATGTGACCGATGTCTTCAGGGGGCAGTTTATGGGTTCAGGGGTCACCTCAGGAGGGTCATCGGCCCTTTCTGACCACAGCCAGGCCTAGGCTGACAGGGTCTCTGGGATGCACTGCCCATGCTTCTCTCCAGCACGCCCCCGGGCCCCCGCCTACCTGGACGGAAGCAGCGCACACACAGGCTGGCCGCCACCCCCAGCAGCACCAGCAGCGCTGCCCCGGGCCACAGCAGTTCAGTCCCTGGGTTCATGCTGGCTCCTGGTGTCGCCTCCTGTGGTTCTGAGATGGGGGGTGCCCGTGAGCAAGGGGAACCTTTTTCAGGAATCCCACCCCATACCCCCACTGTGCCGGAACAGTCACATAGCTGAGTCCAGGCTGTGGAAAGGCCACCTCCCCTCCTGGCTGCTGGCCCAGCCCAGCATCACCCTTGATAAATGCTGGAAGGTTCTGGGGGCCCACAAGATACCCCCACGTGCATGACCACAGCCCTACACACAGCCCCACTTAATCCAGACAACCGCCCTTTGAAGGTGAAGTTCACTGCCTTTCACAAATTGAGAAACTGAGGTTAGCGAGCTCACATCTGCTAAGAGGAAAGACGGGATTCAGGACGTAGCGTCCTGCCCCAACCCTGGCTCTGCCCATCACATTCATTGTCTCTAGTAAACCCACCCTGGCTCCTGGGGGTGACAGTCACAGTCTGTGGCCACCACCCATACAGAAGCACCCGGAAGCCCCCACCCATCCCAGGGCAACTCAGGGCTCCTCTCTACCCTCCTCCTGCCTTGGGGTCCCTCTGAGGCCCACCCAGGATCAGGGAATGGGTCTTCCATTCCTGAAACAGCTGCAAGCCCAGATTCTGCCTGTGGTGAGAGCTGGGAGGAGGGGAGTCAGGGAAGGCTTCTTGGAGGAGGTGGCCCAAGAGCATGAGGTGGAGAAAGGTAGGCCGGGCGCACTGGCTCACACCTCTAATCCCAGCACTTTGGGAGGCTGAGGTGGGCGGATCACAGGGTCAGGAGATGGAGACCACCCTGGCCAACATGGTGAAACCCTGTCTCTACTAAAAATACAAAAAAAAATGTTGGAGCATGGTGGCTGGCGCCAGTAGTCCCAGCTACTCAGGAGGCTGAGGCAGGAGAATTGCTTGAACCCAGGAGGCAGAGATTGTAGTGAGCCAAGATTGTGCTGCTCCATTACAGCCTGGGCGACAGTGCGAGACTCCGTCTCAAAAAAAAAAAAAAGAAAGTTGATCCTTAGAGGGATGAGGCCCAGGGCCCTGCTGCAGGTGTCTGGAGGGGGTGCCAAGGCTGGGCTGGAGACGTGATGTTGTAGGGAGGGGGCCCTGAATCCCCGGCCGGCACCTGGCCGGCTTCTTGGTCTGTGGCTGGTCCCAGCCTTGAAACCACAGCGTGATGACCAGGCCTCAGCAAAGACACATGCACACCACACGCCGTGGCCTGGTGGATGGAAGCGCGGCCCTCTCGAGTGCGCTTCCAAGAACTGCTGCAACCATAAATAGCCCCAGGCCAGGCGCAGTGGCTCACGCCTGTAATCCCAGCACTTTGGGAGGCGGAGGCAGGGAGGATCGCTTGAGGTCAAGAGTTTGAGACCAGCCTGGGCAACACGGCGAAATTCCATCTCTACAAAAAATACAAAAGAAAATAGCCAGGCACGGTGGTGTGTGCCTGTAGTCCCGGCTACTTGGGAGGCTGAGGCGGGAGGATCGCTTGAGCCCAGGGAGGTTGAGGCTGCAGTGAGCTGTGATCGTGCCACTGCACTCCAGCCTGAGCAATAGAGGACATTTTATTTCAAAAAATAATAAGGAGACCTGGTCCCCTGGAGATGGCCAGGGACAGAGTTGAGGGTGGTGGGGGTCTTGGAAGAGGCTGGGCATGGCGGGCATTTGTGGAGCCGACGCTCCCGAGTGTCCACCCTGCTTCCACTATGCGCTTCCCATCCTGGCCACCAGTGAAGGCTTCTCCCCACCCTACAGCTGGGGAAGATGAGGCTGGGAGCAGTAAACAGGACTTAAAAGGAGGAGTTCCAGCCGGGCGAGGTGGCTCATGCCTGTAATCCCACCACTTTGGGAGGCCGAGGTGGGCAGATCACACAGGAGTTCTCTACTAAAAATACAACAAATAGCCAAGTGTGGTGGGGGGGCACCTGTAGTCCCAGCTCCTTGGGAGGCTGAGGCAGGAGAATCGCTTGAACCCAGGAGGCGGAGGTTGCAGTGAGCAGAGATTGTGCCACTGTACTCCAGCCTGGGTAAAAGGACCAAGACTCCCGTCTCAAAAAAAAAGGAGGAGCTCCAGGCTGCCTACCTCCTGCCTTGGGTTCCCCCGGAGGCACACCAGGGCCTGGGCTGTCCGGCTTGAAAGCTGCGTGGCCTTTGACGAGTCTCAGGACCTCCCCGGACTTCCCAAATCCCTGCGGAAAGATGAGTCATAATCTCCGTGTGACCCTGAGTCTGTCAGGGGCCCATCACAGAGAAGCCAGCAGGCCTCCCCGCAAAAGCCAAGTGAGTCAGTGGGAACAAGTGAATTTCCTACCCTGTGACTGGCACGACCCAGGTCACCCCAGGAGGTGGTCTGAGGAAGCTCCGCTCTCTCCTCCCCAGAGCCTGCCTGGGCACTGCCCTTCTCCCTCCCCAAACCTCAACCTGCCTCAGTGCCCCCAACCCAGGGTGTGCCTCCAACCCCTCCAGCATGGCCCAAGTTCATCCCAGGCTTGTGAGGTTGGACTCATGGGACCAGATCTTGCCTGTGTCTGGGGCCCCCCAGCCTCAGGTTTCTCATCCATAAAATGGGGTTGGGCTGGGTATGGGGGCTCACACCTGTAATCCCAACACTTTGGGGGGCTGAGGCGGATCACTTGAGGTCAGAAGTTGGAGACCAGCTTGGCCAACATGGTGAAATGCTGTTTCTACTAAAAATACAAAAATTAGCCAGGCGTGGTGGCGCATGCCTATAGTTCCAGCTATTTGGGAGGCTGAGGCAGGAGAATCACTTGACCCCAGGAGGCAGAGGTTGCAGTGAGCCGAGATTGTGCCACTGCACTCCAGCCTGGGACACAGAGTGGGACTCTGTCTCAAAAATAAATAAATAAAATGGGATCAGGCTGGGAGTGGTGGCTCATGCCTATAATCCTAACACTGGGAGGCCGCGGCAGGAGCATCACTTCTGGCCAGGAGTTCGAGACCAGCCTGGGCAATGTAGCAAGACCCTATCTCTTAAAAAAAAAAAAAAAAAAAAGAAGAAGAAGTAAAAATGAGCCAGGCACAGTGACACAAGCCTGTGGTTCCAACTACTCAGGACACTGAGGCGGGAGAATCGCTGAAGCCCAGGAGGTGAGACTGCAGTGAGCCAAGGCTGTACCCCTGCACGCCAGCCTGGGCCACACAGCAAGACCCTGTCTCTAAAAACAAAAAACAAATTTCACAGTCGTGTGTCTGCCCCCAGACTGAGTGACTTCTGTGCTGTCTCTCTGTCTCTGCCTCCCTCTCCGAGTGTCTCTGTCTCGCTCTCACTTTTACTCTCCCATGCAGGTTCTGAAAGCAGGTGGGGTGACATGGAGGGAGCGGAGGATGGGCCCTCGGAGGCCCCCAGGGGCCGGCGGGGCTGGGTGGGGTGGGGAGCGGGGATCGCCGCAGACCACGGATCTGCAGAGGCCAAAATAGCACGAAGGGGAAGTGGGCACTTTTCATATGAACAAAGATTGCACAGAGCCGGCTTCGGGGAAGCTCTCGGGGCTGGGCTGGAGGAGGTACAGTGTCTGGGCCTCCCTCCCGGAAGGCCGCTCCGAGACCACCCTGCCCGTCTTCCCAGCGGCTGCGGACACTGGGGTGCGGGAGGGGCAGCCTGACTTGAAGCCCTGGACAGCTTTAACCACTGGGCTCTTCTCTGGGGTCTGTTTTTTTTTGTTTGTTTAGTTTTTAATTGTATTGAGTTTTTTTTGTTTTTTTTTTAAGAGATGGGGGTCTCACTGTGTTGCCCAGGCTGGTCTCCAGCTCCTGACCTCAAGTGATCCTCCCACCTTGGCCTCCCGAAGTGCTGGGATGACAGGTGTGAGCCACTGTGCGCAGCCGGTCCTGTTGCTTTTTCCAAATAATTGTGGGCTTCAAATGAGGCTGGCTGGGTGGGAGAGAGGGGCGGGTGCGGCAGGGGCCTGTGCAGCCCTGGTCCCAGGGGCAGAGCTGAGGGCCAGGCAGGGGGCTGGGCGGGGAGGCGGGGGACGTGGTCTCCACCTGACCTGGAGCCAGACCCGGGCCCTGACCTGCAATCTCACCGTTTTCCCCTCACCTGTGTAGGGGTAACAGTCCTATTTTGTGGATGAGGAAACTGAGGCTCCCGGGCCAGGCCAGCCGCTGCTTTGGCCCTCACCTGCCCTCAGTCTCTGACAGTGAGGGGACTGCCATGGGATGTCCCAAGGCTGTGCAGGCCGGACAGGTGAAGGCGAGGGCCGGAGAGTGGCCAGAACCCCAGAAACAAGCTGACCCCTGAAATGCTGCAGGGTCTGGTGCCAGGGCGGGAGTGGGGGCCTCGGGAGGGGGCGCTAGGCATCCAGGCCTCCTCCCACCCCACCCAGTGGAGCCAGGTGCTCCTGGGGGATGGGGGACAGCCCGAGGACCCAGGCACCCCTGGGACAGGCTTACCTGAGAGTCCAGGGCTCCTCACCGCGGCCACCCCATCCTGAGCCCGCACACCTGCTCCAGCGATGCCAACACCACTGACACTGGCGGGCGGACAGGGCGGGGTTTCTGCCAGCCACTGAATCATCCGCACATCCGCTGCTCTGCCGGACAGGCTCAGCTATGAGCAGGGAGGGGGAAGGGGGGGAAGCGAGCGAGAGAGAGAGAGGGAGGGAGAGAGAGAGAGAGAGAGAGGGAGAGGGAGAGGGAGAGGGAGAGGGAGGGAGAGAGAGAAGAGGGGGAGAAAGAGCTGGGGTGAGAGAGAGACAGGGAGGGAGAGAGGACAGAGAGAGAAAAGAGAAACAGTGAGAGAGAGAAAGAGAAGATAAGAGATAGGCGCGCGGTGGCTCACACCTGTCATCCCAGCACTGTGAGAGCCTGAGCCGGTGGATCACCTGAGGTCAGGAGTTCAAGACCAGCCTGGCCAACATGGTGAAACCTCGTCTCTAGTGAAAATATAAAATTAGCTGGGCATGGTGGCAGGCACCTGTAATCCCAGCTACTCGGGAGGGAATTGGGAGGCTGAGGTTGCAGTGAGCTGAGATCACGCCACTGCCTTCCAGCCTGGGTGACAAGAGTGAAACTCCCTCTCAAGAAAAAACAAAAACCAGAGACAGAGAGAGCAGAGAGACACAGAGAATAGGAAAATACGGACACACACTAACACACACATAAACACAAAAACTCACACAGAGAGGAGGAGAGATACACTCTAACAGATAGGAAGCAAGAGACTGAAGCTGAGGTGCTTTTGCAGATGGCAGACATGCAGACACACACACGCTGAGAAGACACACACTAGGCCGGGCGCGGTGGCGCACGCCTGCAATCCCAGCACTTTGGGAGGCTGAGGTAGGTGGATCACCTGAGGTTAGCAGTTTGAGGCCAGCTTTACAAATGTGGTGAAACCTCACTACTAAAATTACAAAAAGAATTAGCTGGGTGTGGTTGGATGAGCCTGTAGTTACAGCTACCCAGGAGGCTGAGGCAGGAGAATCACTTGAGCCCAGGAAGTGGAGGTTGCAGTGAGCCGAGATCACGCCACTGCACTCCAGCCTGGACAACAGAGTGAGACTCCATCTCAAAAACAAAACAAAACAAAACAAGCCAACAAACAATTTTAAAATAATAATAATTAATTAATACCTCGATGGCCTTGGGCAGCTGTTTAACGGTCAGTAGCGCAAGGCAGTCCACCAACTTGCAGGATGTGGCTTTACTGACCTCAGGTGCCAGGGCGTCCTGGGCTCCGCAGGGGCCTGTCTCATTCTGTTCTCACGTCTGTGTGAACGGCAGCCATGGCATCCGCCCCAGGGCTGGACACAGGGACGGCGCTGGGCAGGAGTGGGCTGTGGTCCCTCTGCATGTGCTGTCAGCCCGTTCTCCACGCCCCTTGATGCCGGGAGCCTCATCTGTGCAGTGGGGTGATGAGGCCCCAGGGCTGGGGAGGAGCAGGGCTGTCCTGCCACCCCGCCGCCTTCAGCTCCCTCTCCGTCCACTTCTCCACCTGTCTTTGATCACTCGTCCCGTCTGCCCTGACCTTGTAGTCTCTGCAGGGGTCTCTCTGTCCCTGCCACGCCCACCTGTGTCCCGAGTCCTTTGCTTCTGTGTCTATCTGTTTTGTCCTCTGGGACTCTTGCTCCTGACACTCTGTCTCTATTCTTTGCCTGCTTTTTTTTTTTTTTTTTTTTTTTTTTGAGATAGGGTCTCACTTGGTCCAGAGGTAAAGCTGGATTTGAACCCAGACCCCAAAGCCTGGCTTCCTCACTGGGACCCCCTGCCTGGCTCCTCTTCACAGAATGGGAACAAGCCTGCCTCAGTTTCCCTCCAGCCCCAGACTATGCACCTGGACTGGGGTTACCTGTTGTCTTTTTTTTTTTTTTTGAGATGGGATCTCACCCGGTCACTCAGGCTGGAGTGCAGTGGTGCGATCTCGGCTCACTGAAACCTCCACCTCCCAGGCTCAAATGATCCTCCCACCTCAGCCTCCAGCGTTAGCTGGAACCCCAGGCATGTGCCACCACATAATTTTTGTATTTTTTGTAGAGACAGGGTCTCACTATGTTGCCCAGGCTGGTCTTGAACTCCTGGCCTCAAGCTGTCCTCCTGCCTCAGCCTTCTAAAGTGCTGGAGTTACAGGCGTGAGCCACTGCACTGGGTCCCACTGAACCCACTGTGTATCCCACCTGCTGGAGACACCAGGGAAGAGCATGACAGTCCCCTACCTCCTATAAGTCTGTCATTGCAGAACCTGGGCCCCCAGTCCTGGACCCCTCTATGCCTGGGTCCCTGGCTCTGAGGTCCCACTCTTACCTTGGGGCTGGGTTTGGCCGGTGTCCGGGACGTGGCCACAGAGATGGGCAGCTGGGCCCGCTGCTGCCACCTGGTGGACAAGGAGGGTAGCACATGCTCCAGGAAGATTCAGGACCACGTTTTCTTCCCGCGGTAAACCGGTAAGAAGACAGAGGCTGGCAGAGGCGAAGCTGGATTTGAACTCAGACCTCAAAGCCTAGCTTTCTCATTGGAACCCCCTGCCTGGCTCCTCCTCACACAGTGGGAACAAGCCTGCCTCAGTTTCCCTCCAGCCTCAGACTATGCACCTGGACAGGGGTTACCTGCTTTTTTTTTTTTAGATGGGGTCTTGCTTGGTTGCCCAGGCTGGAGTGCAGTGGGGGCGATCTTGGCTCACTGCAACCTCTGCCTCCTGGGTTCAAGCGATTCTCCTGCCTCAGCCTGAGTAGCTGGGATTCCAGGTGCCTGCCACCATGCCCAGCTAATTTTTTGTACTTTTAGTAGAGACCAGGTTTCACCATGTTGGCCGGGCTGGTCTCAAACTCCTGGATTCAAGTGGTCTACCTGCCTCGCCCTCCCAAAGTGCTGAGATTGAGACAGGGCCTTGCTCTGGAGTGCAGTGGCAAGATCATAGCTCACAGCAGCCTTGTTGTTCTGCACTCAAGTGATCCTTCCATCTTTACCTCACTTGTAGGTGGGACTACAGGCACACACCACCATGCCTGACTCATTTTAAAACTTTGCAGTGATGGGGTCTCACTATGTTGCCCAGGCTGATCTTGAACTCCTGGGCTCAAGCGATCCTCCTGCCGTAGCCTCCCAAAGCGCTGCGATTACAGGTGTGAGCCATCGTACCCACTCTATCTGCTCTGTTCTCGCTCCCTGCTTCGTTGGTGGGCCTGGGCACTGGTAGATGCTGGAGGGGAATGGTCTGTGAATGGGCCTCATATGCGGCTGGGTGCGGTGGCTCACACCTGTAATTCCAGCACTTTGGGAGACCGAGGTGGGTGGATTACCTGAGTCAGGAGTTCGAGATAAGCCTGAGCAGCATGGTGAAACCTCGACTCTACTAAAAATACCAAAATTAGCCAGGCGTGGTGGCGCAGGTCTGTAATCCCAGCTACTCGGGAGGCTGAGGCAGGAGAATCACTTGAACCCGAGAGGCAGAGGTTGCAGTGAGCCGAGATCGCGCCACTGCACTCCAGCCTGGGCAACGAGCAAAACTCTGTCTCAAAAAAAAAAAAAAAGGGGCCTCATATGCAAAACGACCTTACAGACAAAGTGTGGTGTTTTGTTTTTGGAGATGGAGTCTCACTCTGTCACTCAGGCTGGAGTGCAGTGATGCAATCTTGGCTCACTGAAGCCTCCACCTCCCGGGTTCCAGCGATTCTGTCTCAGGCTCTCTAGTAGCTGGGATCACAGGCACCTGCCACCACGCCCAGCTAATATTTGTATTTTTAGTCGAGTCGAGGTTTCATCATGTTGGCCAGGCTGGTCTTGAACTCCTGACCTCAAGCAATCCACCTGCTTCAGTTTCCCAAAGTGTTGGGTTTACAGGTGTGAGCCACCATGCCCAGCCAAGAAGTGTGGTCTTGCGCGGCTGGGAGACAAGATCTCTGCACTGTTGTCCTTCAGATCCAGGACTTGCCTGTCACAGGGAAAGGGGAGGCGTGTTCTAGCAAGACAATGAGAGGCAGCTCTCCAGAACCGGCAAGAACGCTATATGCGTCATAGTCTATAATTTGGGTGATAACATCAAGGCTGGCATGCTCTTGGGTGCCCCCCCCAGGGTGGCTCACACCTGTAATCCCAGCATTTTGGAAGGCTGAGCCAGGAGGATTGAGCCTGGCCTGGCCAACATGGCAAGATCCGGTCTCTACAAAAATACTGTAAAAATTAGCCAGGGCTGGGCACAGTGGCTCACACCTGTAATCCCAGCACTTTGGGAAACTGAGGTGGGTGGATCACCTGAGGTCAGGAGTTCGAGTCCAGCCTGGACAACATGGTGAAACGCCATCTCTACTAAAAATAGAAAAATTATCTTGGCATGGGTGGCACACGCCTTTACTCCCAGCTACTCAGGAAGCTAAGGCAGGAGAATTGCATGAACTCAGGAGGTGGAGGTCACAATGAGCCAAGATCATGCCACTGCACTCCAGCCTGGGTGACAGAGCAAGACTCCATCTCAAAAAAAAAAAAAAAATTAGCCGGGAATGGTAGTGTACCAGGAGGTATGATGTGCCACTAAACTTCAGTCTGGGGTGACAGAGTGAGTCCAAACCCAAGATGTTTTCTGGAAGAGATGAGAAGACAGTGTAGCAATCATGGGGACTCCCCCCCATAACCAAAAAGAAGAGTTTCTTTTTTTTTTTTTAGAGACGGGGTTTCACCATGGTTTTGATCTCCTGACCTCGTGATCCACCCGCCTCGGCCTCCCACTGGGATTACAGGCGTGAGCCATGGAGCCCAGTTTCTTTCATTTCCCCTGGGAAGGGATCTAAACTGTTGATTGGCAATCAGGTCTTTCCAAAGGCCACCAAGAACACAGTGGGTTGCTGGTCAGTTTTCTCCTTGTCTATCTCAGCTGAGATCAGATCACTGCACGTTTGTTTCCAGGTAACAGTCACCAGGTGCTGTGGGCCTCCGGTCCTGAGCCCTGCAGGCTTCACGTCCCCTCTTCCCTTTGGTTAACAGTTGTTTCTGGTCCTTATCTCTTCCCTCCTGTCGTCCTTTTCCTCCCTCTCTCTTTCCTTTCTCTTTTCTCTCCCCTGCTTTCCTTTTTTTTAGAGGTGGGGTCTCACTGTGTTGTC